AAGCACTTCCTGAACTAACCCATGGTTTTCTTTCCCCTATAAAACACGTCTTGTGTGTGCTGGTAGCAAAATTCACGACACAGCGGAAGGCAGTACATTTTTTTTTGGACAGCAAGCAAGCGGCATGTAGTTTGGCAAAATGTGTATCATCTGTGCCGTCCTGCAAATATCAGTGGAACAAACGCAGCGTAGCAGCAGTCTTTGTTTGCAAGACAAACACTGCAGCACCACCAGCAATACTCGGTTCTGGCAGTTCTAACAGCAGCTAATAGCAGGCGAAACACCAAGCTACTTGACTCGTATTGCTTTTCTATAGCTACTAACTCTCCTCGTGTATTTTTTTCCTCTCAGATGTGTCTGACTGACGACGAACCAATATGTGCCATCTGTAAACTCTTTGGAAAACACAAAGACCACAACGTTGCTAAAGTATCAGAAGCTTACCAGGGAAGAAAAAAAGAATTTATACAAAAATTACACTTAGTTCACAAGAAATCTGAAGATGCCAGGAAGGTACAAGTGACATTAGCCATGACACTAGCAAAATCACACGCTCCCTGGGTAGATTAGAGCCACGTTTGTGGATTTTAGAATGGAATTGAATAGTTCAGTTGGAAGGGACCTACAAAGGTCATCGAGCCCCCTACCTGAGCACTTGGTTGAGAAGAGAGAACGTATTTTAATCTAATGATAGATTTTGGCCCTGGCCAGACAATGCCTCTTGGGCTCTCCTTCACCTAGCTGTAACATGAGATACGATTACCAAAGCTATTCCCACGTCTTCAGAATTTGGTTGGCTTCATTACATGGATGGAGAAACATGGATGTTTTACTAGGATGTATTTACTAGTGTACTAGGATGTATTACTGAATGTGGGGTTGCAAATTTAAACTGCTGTTCTCTGCAAGGCACGTGCAGTACGTGCCATGTACCATCCCAAACACCTGCATTTAAGTAACACCTGTATGGAGCTCAGGTATTCCTCTGGGATGCCTTGCCTCCGACGTCCTTCGTGGGGAAGTAGGCTCACAAGGAGGTACTTCAGAGCTGGGCTGGTGGAAAAACCTGCCACCTCTTTACTGTTTGAACTACATCCAAAGGTATCTTGAGTTTGAATAGTGCCTAAGCCTCAAAGCAAGTAGCTTATTTGAGTGAAAAACACAGAATCACCCCAAGTTGGAAGCAACCCACAAGGATCATTGGGTCCAATTCCTGGCTCTGCACATGACCACCAAAAATCAGACCCTGTGTCTGAGAGCGCTGTGCAAATGCTTCTTGAACTCTGGCAGGCTCAGGGCTGTGACCACTGCCCTGGGGAGCCTGTGCCAGTGCCTGACCACCTCTGGGTGAAGAAGCTTTTCCTAACACCCAGCCTGACCCTCCCCTGTCACAGCTCCATGCTGTTGCCATGGATCCTAACGTTTCAAAAGGCATTTACAATTATTTATATTTTCATTTGGCTTTGAGCACTAATGGGTGCCATAATTGTTAAGCTTTTAGAGCAGAGAACCCGCAAGGGGTATTGTATTTTGAAAGTTAATAATGCACTTGACTATTCTAAACTTGACTGCTCAGAGACATGACTATGATGCAACAGAACTTTTCATCAATTTATTTCACTCAGGAAAGTGAACAGCTGATTAGTGAATTAACAGCTGATGCTACTGACACCAAGGTAATGATTGACACGGTTGGAACTGGTTTGCTGAAGGGCATATTGTACAGGATGGCTGAGCTGCACTCCAAGTTACACAAAGACTATTCTACGAAACTGGAGACACTGCAAGTAATCTCAAAAGAAGCTGAAGCTCCTGGAGAGCTTTATCATCAAATGGAAGCCCTCCTGGAACAGCATGTAAATTCTGTACAATTTCTGCAGGAGGACAAAAAGCTCAAGGAAAGAATTGAGAAAATGCTAGAAGGAAAAGCTTCATATCAGGATCCACCAACATACAAAATTTCAGTGAAGCAGTATTTTGAAGAGCTCATCAAAGGAATTAACATCAAGGATTACCTCTCCAGTGCATGCCAGGAGACGTTAAAAAGTACCACTGACATAGCTGAGACATGCAGATCAGAATACCCTGCCTTTGTTTTTTCAGGTCAGAGTCCTGATCAATCCTTCTGCAAACAACTACTGCAACTATTTGAGAAGTCAAATGAGATCAACCAAGATAATTTTGAAAACGCAGCTCCATCCACACTGCAGCACTGCAGCGAACACCAGCACTGAAAAGTTAGCTTTTACAGATTTGCTGAAAGGATGAATTAAAACACTATCTCCTAACATTTAGCTTTCATTTTCCACTCATATGTGCTGCCTATGTATTCCACCAAACAACTGAAAATCACCTTGAAATGTGAACAGAATGAGAGGTATCTAATGTCAGTCTGCGCTCTACTGCATTCTTTCTTGTTCCACCACTAATCAGAAACTGGTTGGAAGGTGGCAGTAAAAGAGTAGCCTAAGACAGTAACACAGGCTGCCTAAGAACGTGGATTTAGAGCTGGCAGACAGGGAGACTGTGCCCAACACGTCCTATGAATCAAGCCTCCTTCTTGTGACTCTGACAGCTGCAAATGTTTCGAGTTTATTAAAAATGTAATTCACATCCCAAGCCCTAAATTTGAGCTTCAAACCACAAACAAACACAGTTAATTCCTTATAAACCTACCTACTAAGGTAAGCTGTAACTTCCATATGGGAATTCCAAAGTAATTTACAGTTATTTACTTCTATAAGGCAATTACAAAGGAACTTGAAGTTGTTTTAAAATGATAAACGCTAGGCTACTACACTTCATGTATTTGATTATCTTCATGATCATTTTTTCCAGTGATGAAGCAAAGAAGAATTAACGATAGCTTCATTTAAATTCACTTCTTAAACTGCAGGTATGGGGCCTATCTACCCCTTTTTTTTCCTTAAATCACTTCTCTACATTCCTTTGCTAATTTATACAAAAGCATTTCTGCTTCTCAGGGTAATTTCTGCCCAATTTCTACACATTTTAACTTTGGAAAAATGAAAAGTTATCAGATTGATTTTCCCTTGACTCTTCTGGTAGTATCAGAACTACTTTTTGGAAATCTAACAAACACAGGTGTAGTGGGTTTACGTGGCAAAGTTTTGGTAGGAGGGGGCCATAGGGGTGGTTTCTGTGAGAAAATTCTAGAAGCTGCCCCATGTTTGAGAAGGGCCCCATTGTTTTCCAGAGCTGAGCCAATAAGCGATGTTGTTTTGCACCTCTGTGAGAGCATATTTAAGACAGGGAAAAAAAACACTGCGCCACACAGCAGCTGGGAGAGTGAGAGGAGTGAGGAACAGCACCAAGGTCAGTGTAGAAGGAGGGGGAGAGGTGCTCCAGGCGCCGGAGCAGAAGTCCCCTGCGGCCTGTGGTGAGGACCATGGTGAAGCAGGATGTCCCCCTGCAGCCCATGGAGTGCCATGGTAGAGCAGGGTTCCACGCTGCAGCCCGTGGAGGAGACCACGGTGGAGCAGGTGGCCCTGCACCGACGGAGGCTGCTGCCTGTGGAAGACCCCTGCTGGAGCAGATTCCGGGCCAGACCTGTAGCCTGTGGAGAGGAGCCCACGCAGGAGCAGGTGATCTGGCAGGAGCTGCTGCCCATGGGGGAGCCAGGTTGGAGCAGTTTGCTCCTGAGGGATGGACCCCGTGGTATGGACCCATATCTAGAGCACCTCTGGAAGAGCTGCTGCCTGTGGGAAGCCCACGTCAGATCAGTTCATCAAGGACTGCATCCCGTGGGTGGGACCCCACAGCACAGGGGACGAGAGTGACCAAGAAGGAGCGGCAGAGAAGAAATGCTGTAGACTGACCATAACCCCCATTCCCCCGTTCCCCTGCGCTGCTCGGGGGGAGGAAGTGGAAGAGGGTGGATGGGGGAAAAAGGTGCTTTTGGTTTCTTTCCTTGGCAGCTTCTAGATCTTTCTCACAGAAACCACCCCTATGGCCCCCTGCTACCAAAACCTTGCTACGTAAACCCACTACAACAGGACATGTCAAATGCTATTTCTACTATCAGAAAAGAAATCCACAGGGCTCTGGAGATCATTATGCTGTACACCTGGACGATTTCCTTCTAAAATGTCCTTTCAAATCAGGCCTGGGGCTGGTACTGATCGCAGCCCTGACCCTGAGGGCTCACAGATCAGCCCTGCGTGCCCACACCCAGTACCAAACCTCCTTGTGTATGCACAGATGTTGCTAGTGAGGGTGAATGATGAGACTGAGTCGAACTGCGAGAAAAGCTTCAGTTGTTCCTTGTACATATCTAATGTAATAGATAATGTCAATGTGATAATGGAAAATCCAGAAACAAACCGAAAACAGGTTTCACTAGATCCAGTGCTGTGTGACCATTCACTTCTGCATTAGGCCCGGATGCTTCCCCAGCCTCAACATCGCCAGGTCTTCTGATGCCTTTTTCACTTCTGCTACTCTGACTGTCTTCGCATTTCATGTAATTTGCACAGGCATGTGAACCAGCATTTTTTCTTACATGGCACAGAATGAATAGAACTGGGACCAACCACAAATTTTATCAAGCTTTCATCTCTTGCTTCTCACTTAGACCCTGACAAGGTGCTTCCCCAAGGTGCTCCTCAGGTGCTGCTTAACTGTAATGTATACTGTGTTTAAAAGGTAAACTGAGCTTCACAAGACTAAGGTTACAGTTCGTAATCACTTGCTGCTGCCATCAAGCAGTGCTTTACAAGTCAAACGTTCAGAATAATGTCACTGTCATTCCTGATCTTTTACATGTAGCTTAACAAAAGCTCACTTACCATATGAGGAAATCCTCAGCAGCCAGTGGCATGGCACCAGCTGCCTACTGCCTCTACCAGCCAGGGCCACAACTCAGGCTTTCTACATCACCTCTTTTCCAAAGAACTTTATTTAACAAATTTGTCATAACAAGTGGTTTATACACCTGAATTCCTTCCTTTTGTACTCATAACAACTGTGTTTGTCCATACCGTTTGCTGTCAGTATTTTGTACGCTGTGGTCCACTTTTGGCTGGGGAAAAGACTTCAAACTCTCCAATTACTATCTGTGGTAAAGAAATAGAGAGTAAGGTGAGCAGACCTTTTTGGCACTACTTTGCAAAATCAAAAATTCTTCCTAGAATATTACACTGCAGGACACATAGTTTCAATGTCCCTTAATCAACTTCAAAATAACTACCACAATTGAAAGTCACCCCCTAGTCCAAAGCTATGTGCATTCCAGTAAAACAGATAGACTGGCATTTCTTGTTAACATACAAGACATCAGTTTCTCAAAAAGTGATAAAATGATTCACTTTCTGAAGAGAAAATGCCCCTTCAACAACTGTCTGGTGTTTGATTGGATACGCTGTGGAATTGTTCTGGTTTCTAAGCCAAAAACAATGTCACTTCCCAATTATGGGTATAACGAACAACGGCCACCCATGAATCAGCTTGCATCTGGCAAAGCGGCAGGCCTGAAAGAACACCATCAGGCAGTAAGTATTTCCTGCTCTGAAAATAAATGTGTCATCTATAGAATGTTTCATTTTTGAAAAATGCTTCTGTATCCCTTCTTGTTTATCTAACAGCTGGAATCGACTTCCTTATTGTAGCACTTTGCTCTGCCAGCAAATCCTGTTCTGTCCAGCAATCCTCACTACAGACAGGATAATCTGTAAATTACTAGAAGTGTGTATTTGAGTTTACATAACGCCTCTTAGAACCTTTCTGAACATAACTCCTGAAAAATAAAACTTCATAATGACTACTTCTTGTAATTTTTTTGTCTCTGCAAGAACAAGAATTATTACAGTGCCTGGTTATAATACAATGGTAAAATAGCATTTCACTGTGGAATGTTTTAATCGGACACTCATCTTTTCTGGGTGTTCATACCCCATCTTGTGACCTAGCGTGGAAGTGCAGGAGCTACAAAAAAGACCCTCGTGCCCGGTTAGAGACCCGATAGAAGGTTCTCACCTTAACAGGGGCTGCAGCTTCCGTATTCATCAGAAAATGAGTCAAATTTCTCCTGAAAGTAAAAAATTAAAAAGTAATTTAGCATCTGGCAGAGTTTATGTGTAAAGTTTTACCCAAACAAGGATGAAAGCTGCATTTGGGTTTGCCTTTAATCTGTTGAGGCATCAGTACTTTGTGTTTTCCAGACACAAAACAGCGGCGTTATCCAGAAAGCTGTGAGGTCAGACCGTTTCATCTCTCTGTTGCTCTGATCACTGAAAACAAGGCCCCATCGTCCCTTCTCATATTTGTGAAGTAAGATGGGACAGCACACTCGTGAGACTTTACCATATGAATTCTAAACTTTTACGGAATTGTCAAGCACTCACAAAAGCTTCATTATTTACAGAATTTCTCAGAATAGAAAAGTGTATTTACAAAGGCTGAAAAGACTTCTCTGTGCGCATCCACACTTTAATGTATCTCTGTTTTACTGATCTTGTCAGAACTGAGACACAGAAGATATCTGTGTTTGAAGGCTGTTTTTAAGCACATTTTCCTCCTTGAACTTTTACTAGTCCAGAAAACTGGCACTGAGGTTGAAGGACCACCTCTCCTCCTCTGAAAGACTACTACATGCCCTACAGGCCCTGCATACCCCACAACAGTAAGAAACTAATCAGGAATATACCTCAAAAAGATACTTTGATTAATTAACAACACACTGACATAACACTTCCAAGTCAGATTGCTTCCTCACGGTAAAACCAAAAAACAGGAGTAGAAAGAAAAACACAGGAACTTTGAAATAGTGCTGAAAGCAAGCTAGAGGTTTATCTTCTCCAAATGCAGAGACAAGTAACGTGAAAACAGGAATCACCTACGAGGGTGGCAGGTGCAAAAGACCTGCCTCACCCCCTTCTCAGCAAGGAGCAGCACAAACTCCTTCCGTGGGGAGCTCTGCGTGGCGGCAGGGCAGGCCGAAGGGGCAGGAGGGTGAGGAAGTGTGACTAACTGCACCGAGCCTGCCTGGGTGTGTCCTGGGCACGGGGCGTCATTTATCAGGGAATGTTATCAGCACACCAAGTAAAACATCCGTTCTGATGCTTGTTCAACACAGGGAGGCTATAAAAATGTGATGAAAACAAAGCCCGTCAGGGCCGTGAGGGCGAGAGGCTGCTGCTGAGCTCCGGGGGCTGCCGGCAGCGCCTCAGGCACCGCCGCCTCCCCCTGCACGCGCCAAGATGGCGGCGGCGAGGCCGGGGGGGAGCGCTCAGCCTGAGGGCAGCGCCCGGCTCACCGGGACAGCCTGAGGACAGCGCGGCGCGGCCAGGCTGGGCTCAGGGAAGTGAAGGGAAGGGGGCGGCGCGGCCCGGCCGGGCGTTACCAGGGCCCAGCGGCACCGCCCGGCCCCTCCCCGGGCCGCAGGGCCCCGAGGCCCAGCCCCGCGCCGCGCCGCCGGGGGGCGCCATCTTAGGGCTGCCCCCGACCCCCTTCAAATAAATGGCGGAGGGAGGCGGGGCCTCTGCGTTCCGCCGCCCAATGGCAGGCCGGCCCTCGGGGCGGGGGCGGTGCCTCGCGGCCAGCCGCCCAATGAGCGCGCGGGGAGGCGGGTGATGGACGCGTCGGCCGGCGGCGCCCGGGGGCGGGGCTCGCGGCCCGGCAGCCAATGGTGGGGGCGGAGCGGGGCGCGTCGCGCCTTCCCGTGGTGCCCCGCGGCGAGCGGCGGCAGGAGCGGCCGCGACTCCATCCGGGTCCCGGCGCGGCTCCGGGTCACCCCGCCGCAGGTACCGGGCGGCGCCGCGGGGCCCGCATCGTGCCGCGGGGCCGGGCGGGAGGGGCCGGGCAGCGGGGGGAGCCGGGCCCGGGCCCTGTTGGGCGCTGCGGGCGGCGGAGGGCCCGGCCCAGCCGCGCGGGCCGGTGAGGGGCGGGGCGCGGCGCCTCCCGGGGCCTCCCCGCGGGGGGGGGGGCGGCTGGGGGCCCGCCCGTCCCCGCCGGCGCTCCCCGCGCCCGGGCCGCCCCCGCCCCGCGCCCCCCGTCCGCAGGCCCCGGTGGCAGGCCCGGAAGTGCCGCCCCCCGCCGCTGCTGAGTGGCCGCCGGGGCTGGGCGCCCGCCGCCCATAGGCCGCGGATGCCGTCAGCGCGCGGGTACGTCACTTCCGCTCGCAAGGGCGGGCGGGCGGGGGCAGGCCCGGGGGGGGCAGGGCCCGGACGGGGCCGCGGCGCCGAGCGGGGGCTGCGGGGGGGGCTCCGGGCACCTCCCGGCACCTCCCGGCTCCGGGCCCGCCCCGGGGCCGCTGCCCGCTGGGAGCCGCGGCTCGGGGTGAGGCGGGGCCGAGGCCGGGGCGCGGAGCGGCCCCCGGGGATCGGCGCGGGCAGCGCCCGGCAGCGGGGTCCCTGCGGTGAGCTGGGGTCAGAGGGAACGGCGCGGCGCAGTGCCGGGAGGTGAAGCTGGCCTCGTGTAAGCAGTGACGGGGCCCCGAGGGGTGTGTAATGCAGAGAGCATCGCCTTCCTGCTTCCCCTTCGTTCTCAGCCCCGGCTGCCAGGGGGACGTCGCTGGAGCAGTTGTGTAGCTGCGAGTGTCCCCATGCACAGAGCCGGCCCGTGCTGCTCGAGTGTTGAATAGACTGAACTTAGCCCGGGGCTTACCTACGGGGCCTCCTCAAACTTCCTAGCCCAGGCAGCTTTATGAAATAATTCAGTAATTCTCTTTTTTTGCCCCACAGTAACCATCTTCATTAAGATGGACTTATTAAACAGCTGTGTGGCAGTTTTATATTTTTCTAAATTGTTGGTTGCAACTTCTCTGCTGCGCTTCTCACCAAGTGCCTTGTAATGCAACATCAATTTCTGTAGGTCATGCTAAGAAGTTATTTTGTGTAATTAGAGACTTGGCAAAAGGAAACAAAGACAAATCAAATTACTTGCTTCGTTTCCCTACTACTGCTACTAACACCACCAAGGAGAATCTATGTTTTTACCTTCCTTTTGATAAATGAGTTCTGTGTCTTCCTCTCTTGCTCAGTAGTGGGATCGTTTCATTCCTAAATAAAAGGCTCCCATGACTTATAATAGGTAATAGCTACTTATATTAGCAATTAATATAACAGAGCATTCTTGAAAACATTGTGTGTATTAGCATCGTTATTTGCTGAATTCGTGTATTTATATTAACATGCAAACTGTAAGCCAAACAAGTTGTCTGTAACATGCTCTCTTAATAGATAAAAGGGATTTTTTCCTTAATTGCTCTTCTTTGGGAGAAAACTGATATTAACTGTTTGGGTAAATTGAAGCAGTATCAGTTAGGTCTATTTCTTCCACTTTTTTCCCCTCAGTTGCCTACATTCTGATAAGTTAACCTGCCTTGCAGGAACAAAAGCAGAGCTCACTTACCATTAGTAAATGGTAAGAGACAAATACAGTGAATAAATGCACGGCTGTGTACTGATGAACGTACACTCGTGTTTGAAGCAGGAAGAGCTAAGTGATGGCTTCCATTGAGAAATGCCTGTGAGACCTACATGGTGTTAGCAGCTGTGGCTAAACCGAGGCATGCTCACTTACATATTTGTATTGCCAAAGCACTGGCTGACAAACATACATTCAAAAGGATTTGTGAAAAATAAGACGTATTAGGGTAGTCGTTTTCTTACTGTGAAGTGTTACCTAATGTTACTGAGGCTTTAGCCAACGTTCCCACTGTTGTGCAGGGAGTACTGTACGCTGAATGTGAAACATGAAAATGATTCTTCTGTCATGTAACATACTCTCAGTCAACAGGATCCAGAATTAACGTGTCTGCAAAAGGTGAGGTCAGTTTGCATACTGTAAAGAAATTCACTGGCTTATTTTTCAATAATCTCTACTTCCAGCATCTTTATGTAAATAAATGTGCATGTATACGTACTTACAAAGTATTTATAAAAGCTTAAAAGCCTCCAGAGGCTTTTCTTTAGTCTGGTTTGTCAAGTGAAATAGTCTCTGCCGTGGTCGTGCCATAGTAAGTAGTAAACCTTTTTTATGCGCTGGAGCACTAATTATGCACCGATTTGGACAGATTACATCTGCTTTTTTACTTGTCTTTATTAAACAGTAAGCTACTTCTCTAATGTGATTACTAATAGTATTTTTTGAAGTGTTGCTGTATATGGATACAGCAAGAGGCAATTGGTGTAAGTCACTGAAATACGTTAACAGTACTTATTTTTGACTAGCGTAGAAAGAATTAAACTAGGCCTATGAACCATTCATTTATATAGTCTAAGTCCAGAACTAAAGAATTATGATCACTTACGTATAAATGGCTTATTACAGATGTAAAAATTTGAGAAGATGCTGCAATTTGCATTATGTTCATTCTTTGTTCATTAATCATGATCACAGACTTTACTTTTCTGCAGATCTGCTTCATTCCGTGCATGAGTGGTTAGCAGGGACTTCAGATTTCTTTCAAGCTGTGGTTTTTGGATATCTATATTCTTTCTGTAACTGTATGATCAGAAAAATAAATGAAAATTAAACATAATTGAAAATGGAACAAACCAGTAATATTTCACGTTACAATTATTTAAAACCAGGATGCTTTATATTAAAGCAATTAAACATAAGTGGGGAATATAGATTTTGTGAAAAGCTTTGTCTAGTGTCTCAATCAGGAATGTCAAAGATGTTATTGATGACAGAGGCATTAATCTTATGCTGCTGTATGAAAAATACAAAGAAATACTGTAGTGGATACATCTCCCTTTCCAGCTGCATTGACTTTGCTGCTGCTCATGCTTGGAGTTTGAGCCCACCTATATCTTAGTATAGCGGGCACTGGAACTGCTCGTGTTCTTTTCTCCCCTCTGTAGAATTTGCCAGTTCAAACGAGTATTCTGGTATTGTTTAGTTACACTTAATCCATTGTATTGCTGCTTAATTGACTACCGTGTCCAAATAAAGGAACTAAATTGTAAGTTTTGGAGAACTCCTGAGAAGGCCTCTGGCCTGTCGCTTGGCACGGCTTCCGTTCTGATTAAACAATGTTTACTTTCTTGGTCAGTGCCTTGTTTCACTGTAGGTGAATTTACGTGGCATAACAAAAAAAACAACGCCCTTCACCTGTTCAGTTTCAGTCTTCACATAGTTTTATTTTATTTTAAACTTACAGCTTTGACTTTTCTGCTACATTTAATTTTTATCTTCTGAGTTTTAAAGTTGAAATTAAGCATTAGAATCAAAGTCTATTGTAACAAGCCACTTATGCATTTACAGTTGCAAAATGGTCTTTTCCTTTAAGGAGGTACTATAGCATTCATTATATGCCTCAAAGCATCTGTTTATATCACGTATAGATGTCAGTAAAGGATAGTTAGGGTAAGAAGTATTGGTTTTACAAACATGCTTTCTGCTTTAGGTTATTTCTCCTGTGCTGTGAATTGGACAAAATCAAGTTAGAAGATAAAGAATTTGTCAGGAGTTTTTTTCCTATACAGTTTAGGAACTTTTCAGAGGTTTCAAGCACGTATGGGTAGTTCAAAAAAAAAAACAACACACCAAAAACTTGAAAAGTGTGCTTCAGAAAGCTAGAGCCCATTTAGATTCTACTGCTGTCACTTGTCTTGGATGCAAATGGCAAGATGAGCACTGTATTAATAAAAGGAAGGTAACAATCAAAATGTGAATACAGAAGGGTTGATTTTAGTTCACACTAATTAAAACTTTAATTTCAGTAACTATGTGAACTTAAACTCTTTTGGAGAGAGCGATGACGTATGGACACAGTATGCGATGGCAGCACAAGGTCGGTGGAAGGGAAGCAATTCGAAGCCTGGTTAAGTTTGTGTTACTCACACTGTTGTAGCCCCAGCCCCTAAACCAGCGAAACCGACCCAGGAAAAGTGAGTTGTAAGTCTGGGTGCAGCCAGCGGGGGAGCTTGATGGGCAGGGCCATCGGGGGGCTGGAGAAGGGGCAGAAATGCACTCACCGAGAGTTGGTGCGAGCTGAAGTGTAGCTCCAGTGCAGACGATGAAGTTAAGGGGCGAGGAAGCGGTGTTAATGCTTGTAACATAAACGCTGGAGCTCCATCGTGTGGTTAGAGCAGAGCACAGGCTGGGGCCTCAGCCCTCGGCTGGCGGAGGCAGCGGCAGCGCACTCGTTTGGCAGCAAACTCAGTCGTCCCTGTGGGTGCTGTGGGAAACTTGCACAAGTAGTGGTGTTTTCTTCACTTTCGCTGCTTCGGGGATGTATAAATAAAAGTACACGGTGACTGGAAAAATATCCTTTGGACACAGCGCTGCAAGGGAAAAAGAGTTAATTATGTATTTTTAAAAGCTAAAAAAATTAATTGTCTAAGTGTTCAGTGCTGAAGCACAGAATGTGCAGGTAGCCAGCCCTGAAACTCCTGCCTGTATGCTCGGGCATGATGTCACCAGCAGGGTGACTTCAGCAGCAGGGCTGTGTGCAGGAACAGATTCACCTCAAGCTAAGATGATACCAAGTCAGTAGAGGCTGTGCCAGGAGTATAATTTATCCAGCGTGCCGTACCTCAAGGTTCTCTGCTTGTGTGCCTGCCAGGAAAGCATGATGTATCGTGTCAGGGAAGAGGCATACAGCGGACCTGCAGGGAAACCTGGCAGCTCCCTTTCCTTGAAAGGACAATGCAACTTAGGTGATAGGGTTTTCAGAAACTGTTAGAAATAACCTGTGTGTTTACTTCTTATAAACCCCAAAACTTCAGGACCAACATGAAGCAAACCACTAATGAGCTAGACTTTGTGTGAATACACTTTCAATAGACAATTTCGACTAGAGCTTGGGTTCTTTTAATTCTGTACCCTTCTAGCATTAAGCCAAATTAAAAATAGTAGGTACCCTATCTGAGTGACGTCAAGTCAATAAAAGTGCTTTTCTCAGGTAGTTAAAAGACAGGATACATGATGATCCTTCATAAGGCATATCTGTTACAGAATGAGGTTTTTCTAGTGCCCTGTGTGCACTTTATAATCAATCTCAAGCCAGAGTGCTGTATGTAACAACAGGTTAACAACTGGATGTCATTCAAAATATTTTTTTCAAGGACATTTATGACCTTAAGGAACACATAGCCCTTCCAGACCGGTAATAGATGAATGGCTCTTGTTTCAGGAAGCTGAAAGCAGACAAATGCTTATGGATTGAGGAGCTGCAAATAACAAGAAAATGTCATGGTGGCAGTAGAAAATGGTTTAAAATGTCTTATAACAGAACTTGATTGGGAAGTCGTACTGTCAGTAGAAATAGACAACTACAAAACAAAAAGGATGCATCTTCTCAAGTCGGTTAGGTTTTCAGCTAACTTCTGTCTAGAAGTGGTGAAACAAGAAAGTAATCTTTATGCCCTTCAGGGTTCATTTAAAAAAGGTAACTAACAAGTGTCATGCATATTTAATACATTTTATATTTTTGGCATACCTTGCTCTAGCTGGGTGTAGGAAATCAGCAGCTCCGTCTTAAAGTTCCACCTGAAATTAAAGATCTTGGACTTCATGGAAGCACTGAGTGACGAACAGCGAGTCGATGCTCCCTGTAGCTAGGCTCAGCGCACTGAGGCCTCAAGCAGGCTGCGTTTCCCATTTAGGAACTGGTTCTTTACATGAATTTTGCAAGTCAGTTGAAGGTTTAGGTGTAGGAACAAGGAACTATGAAAGGACTGCCAGCAACTCCATTGAATATTTGCTTGACAGCAGGACCTCTGCCTGAGCTCACAAAAAGGATGTGGTATGTGCCAGTGCTTCATAGCCATTTGACTTTGTCCCACTGCTACTGTTCTAATTTATTTGTTTTGGACATGGGGACCAAATGCTTGTGTCCATCTGTGCATGGTAAAGTACCCGTTCCAATAGGCATGTAAGTCAACAAAAGCCAATAATGGGATTTCTAACCAGTTACAAGCAAGATATTAGGAGTGATTCACCAAATTTTGTCGTCAGTGTTTGTATAAAGGTTTCTGGAGTAAAGCACTGAGGGGGTTGGAAAGTACTTTTATTTTTTTTCTCCGTTCAAGGAATAACGTCATCCCTTTGTATATTAATGCATTGGATCACGCGTTGTGTTTTTTGGCAAGGACATTAACATGCATTAGGAGCTCTTGTTCTATCAAGGCTTTGTTTGATGACTGGTCTGAAAACCTCAGCTTAGAATTGGGATGAAGTACTAGTACGACACGTATTTAATGTTTGAAAAACTGTGCATTTCTGTAAACACTTTCAGCAATCTTATAAATTACACTGACAAAACGATCAGTTTTCCTCTTCAGCTCTGTTCTCAAGATGTCCTTGCTAAGAAGGGGATTGTAAGTCACACATCAGTCTGGCAAGTATTTTTATTTCAATATTTTAAGATTTTTACTTCAAGGTCATGTTGAGCTATGGTAATGTAGATGGCTTTAAGGTTCTGTTGGGGCAGTGAGAGAAACGCATTGGTTTCTGATGAAAAAAAAAAGTGTATTTTAAGTGGCCTTTTGGTAAGGCAGTTTAACAATTAAGTGTCAGAGTATGGGCCTTAATAAGTTGTGTTTATAATACAAGAAGCCCTGTGCACAGAACCATACGCCATTTCAGACTAACAGAGAAACCACAAAATACTATTTTAGAAAGTACGTGATTTTCTTTGAGCTATTAACAGTCCTAGATTTTATTACTTTCAAGTTCTAAAGAAGAAGAAATTTAGGTCTGTGTGTGATGTTTCTGATAGGCATTGTTTTCTAACCTCAGACGAGAGGTTACATCTGTGGAACACTAACAGTGCTTTTCCTGTAACAGAAAGGTTTGATGACTGTAGTTGCTGTAACTACTACAGCTTGCTAAGTTTCTAGAGTTTAATATATTAAGACCAAACAGTTGGTAAAATTTTGAAATTAAGGAATTTACATTTAAGATAACTTCATTGTATGACTGGGGAGAAAGAGGAATGTTTTTTCTGTAATCGGTATCCTCCATTGTAAATGCTGTTTGCAGCTGTCTTAACTTGTCTCTATTAAAGCAACGATCTTTCGACGTCACCTGTGAAGATGCCTGCACTGTGGGATGAGGTAGTAGGTTGTATAGTTTTAGGGTCATACCCACAACTGGGAGATAACTATACAATCTACTGTCTTTCCTAAAGCGGCAGAAAGTCAACACTGGAAACACTTCACTTTTAAAGTTCAATGTCAGATTCTACTGAACTTCTGTACTTGGAATTTTCTTTATAGGAAAAATATTTCTGCAGCACCTACAGGTAATTGCATTTAGATTTCTGTAATTCTTAGAAAAATCTAGATTGTCATTCTATATTAATTTTTCTCCTCTAAAGAATAAAAATAAAAATAGATTGATTCCTTTAGCGTTGAGTAATCAGCTACAAATGATTGATGTTCTGATAAGTTGTTCTTTAACATTGCTAAATGAAGCATCAAATATCAATACTCTTCAGAATGAGGCTATGGTTAGCCAATTCAGCAAAGATCTTAAGTACACGCTTCTCTGTCAGAGTGAGGTAGTAGATTGTATAGTTGTAGGGTAGTTATTTTACCCTGTTCAGGAGATAACTATACAATCTATTGCCTTCCCTGAGGAGTAAAACAAACTTCGGTCCTTTGCAGTCATTCATTTCCACGTCGAGTGAGTAAATACAGTTTTGTTAGATAAGTTCCGGGTTATAAAGTATGAAATTAATCCTGTAAATTCTGTCACTGATTAACAATCGGTGTGGATGGTGCAAACCCTAAATGGTATTCGACTGCTGTGACGTTTCTTCAAAGGTGAGTGGCACAGTGCTGACTGGATATTGAAAATGTATCTGTTACTAGCTATGGAGTGGAATACCCCACAGACCAGAAATTATTCTAAAACAGTTTGGTGTTTAATCTAAAAGTTCTGGTGGCTCAGGCACGTACACTGTGACTTAAACTGTTTTGAGACCCAAATTCCTGTAATGCATTAAAATTCCACTACTTCACTTGTTTAGTAGTTGTTGGAAGGAAAACTTATAGTTATGCTTTATTAATATGTCTGCTTATTTTTCTCTAGCTCTTCTAGCAAGTGAGACTTAAACAATGTAATACAAAGATTCAAGTGTTGAATGGCCAAAACTCACCCCTGAACTGTTTAGGAGTGTAAAGCTATGAAGTTTGGGCGCTCAAGATCCAGAATTGTAAATTTTCTCTGAAGTAGTTACGTTTTTATAAAAGAGATTTAAAGCTTACTGTGTTCTTTTTTCACCCTTAAGTCTTAGGTGTACTCAAGTCTAGCTGCTTCTGCAGCAGAGTGAGCAGCTAGTATCTTGCTCTAGCAACAACAAAAGAAAAAAGCATGAAAATGCTTTTTGGGACTGAAAATCTAGCATAGTAAGAGAGAAAATGGAGCCATTCAAGAGTATTTAAGCCAGGAGCAGTGAACTGGTTAACCACTTAGTGAACAGTGCAGACTTACAGGACATGCCCTGGCCTAAAAATGCAGGAGGCCAAAAGCAGCTGGTAAGCTAAGGTGACTTCCTAAAGAGCTGCTATGTAAGAAGAACTGCAAAAAGGAAGCATTGGGCTCCTAGGAAGAGGTAGTAGGTTGCATAGTTTTAGGGCAGGGATTTTGCTCACAAGGAGGTAACTATACAACCTGCTGCCTTTCTTAGGGCTTTATTATAACACCAGGACCATTTTGGCTCCATCCTAACCTCTGCAGCTTTGGCATATGAAGAGAAGTGACCTCTAAGCATATTGAGGTTTACTGAAACTGGTGTGTCAGCATAGTTGGTACCGAACTCAAGCATAGTACTGCTAGCTGGAGTTCCGTATGGGGAAATGCTTCATTTCAGGATACCATTTTAGCAGCATTAGGGTTGTGATAGCCTGCAAAGAAAAGGCCGTGTTTGGAAGAAAACTCCAAGGGCAAGATCTAATTCCCTTACAATTAGGACAGAGGTGTTACACGCTTCTTAACAGAGAGTTGAAGTACTAGTACTGGGTACTTACGAACAGGCAACTTCCCTCTGACTTTGTGGATTTTAAGTTGAAAAACTGAAGTTTCCAAGGATTGGCTCGCCACTCCCTTGAAAGCTGGTGGTTTCTAAGCAGGTACAGGCACTCCCGATAAAACATGCTCTCAGACATGGATTACTTCCAGTCCTACAAGAGAGAAATTTTCAGTGAGAATGATTGCATGGCCATTATGGGATTGTACGTTAAGAAGTAGTTGATAGCTATTTTTTAATGTAATTACACTGCAGTGCTGCGATGGTTCTGGTAGGGTTTCATCTAGACACCCTGTACTGTAGGATGTGGAAACTATGTTAAGTGTTGGACATCTTACAGCATTGATATATTAGGCCCACATCAGGCAGTATTTAAACTTCTGACAATAAGACGGGATCCTAGATATCATAACATGTTAAGTATGCTTGTATTGAACATTCGGTATGAATTTACTTGTACACATTTGATTTACTTAATAAAACAATTTAAGTAACTCTTACAGTGAACGGACTTTACTTTCTCCAAAATAAAGAACTGAATTTTACAGGAAAATAGTACCCATATTAAAATAAAATCAAGACCATGTTAAAAAAAAAAGTTTTAACTGTGATTAAAGTTAAATAAAAAGCCATCATTAACTGTGGTTTTTGATAAAGAGGTTTGGTATATACAGGACGTCACTGCTGGGGAAGGGGGGCATCCTTACAACAATACTGATGAACATGCAGGAACTTACTTGCTCTGGAGCTGGTTTCTGAGCTTAAGTTTTAATTGCTGCTCCTAAGTCTGGACTTTCTGGACGGTGGTCTCTACTGCTCTTAAACACCTCGTTTCTTGTGTAAATACAGTTGGTAAGGTGTCAACGGATATGATTTGGGGAGATACCCTGAAAAATTACTTTTAGCATTACAAAATGCCTTAAGAGCTTTAGCACACGTAACATTTTATAGGTAACTATAAAGGTATATTTTGGTAAGACTTAACGAATCAGTGCTAGCAACTGCAGTGGCGATGCTCCCATTGTACCTGCTACATCTATAAGACCTGTGTTGTGAGAGAACTACAATTTGGGTCCTAGATGAAAAGCAGTAGCTAGAAAAAATTGTTCAGTGTAGTATGCATGTTTGAGGCTTGATGTCCAGATTTCTGTCCATGTGATATTACTAGCTGTCAGTGCTGCTGTGTCTCTAACAGTATACTTTGGAAAACAGAAAGTAGATGTAGCTTTGAATTTATTAGTCCGGCTGAAATTAAATAATCTCAACTTCAAAAATAAAATATGGCTTTGATCATAAAGTGTTAAAAGCAGAACCTCTGTTCACAGGGTCCCAAGTGCTACTTAAGCAAAAGTACCTGAATTTTGGGATTAATGTCTGTGTGCTTTCACAATATATTGTGATAAGCAGATGCTGGAGAGAGATACTGCAGTATCTGTTCTGCCATATCCATATAGTCCCTCTTACACAACACTGTAAGCAGCCTTGATCGTGTCTCCATGGAGGAAGGCAGTAATGCTCAGTTAATTTAAAAAAATATCAATACTGGATAATTAGTTCTTTATCTAAGGGTGCTAACCCAGTTCCATCTTTCCACTAGTGACTGCCTTACCCATGACAGGTACAGGCATTTACTTCCTTGTAATTGGAAGCAGTGTGATTAAGTGACAAGGCTCAAAGCAGAAAGTAATTATGCTGTGGTTTAGCACTCATATAACGATCAGATTATTTCTTACCTTGACTATCCGCAGGCTCCACCTAGTAAATGGCATCTGTTCAGCAAAGCACATTGTTTGCTTTTTTCCATGTGTATATTCGGAGAGGGGTCCAAGGATGAGGTGGCAGCAGAGAGAATCCTTCCACTACAGCAACCATGGTTAAAGAATGCACAGCAAACAGTGCAGAAAAGTTTGCAGTAGAGACATGTTTACCACCCATACTGAAGTAGTTGTGTCATGGTGGTCTTGGAAACATTCCAGTAGAGCTCTGAAAATAGAATACTGCTTCAGTGCTGATCCACATCCCAGGAGAATTATTTCTGTTCTGTGCCCTTCCATGCAGGAAGGTGTGCTTTCAAATCTTCCTGATAGTATGAAACCTGAGACCTGCTGAGATTTTTCTGTAAGAGAAAACAGGACTAGCCAAACGTTCATGTTTCTAAATGGGACTCTGAGCACTTGGTGCCACGCTCACAGCCTATTAGCTTTATGCATTAAAAATGCTCTCCACTGTGCTGCCTTACTCAGATCTAGGATTGTGGCAGACACCTGATTAAAATAATGTCACAAGAATTGCTGTTTGTCGTTTCTATGCTTTATGCTATGCAGAAGATAATAGAGCTCCACCATAGGTACATACAATAGTTTTACCATAGCTCAAGAGGTGTTCTGTGCTGGAGTTCCTCTGGTTGCCAAAGGGTTTTGTGTTCTTAACCATTAGTTCCCCTTTGTGCTTTTGTGTCCAGCGTCCTTCCAACCAGAGGGAACAGATGCAAAGAAAAACCTCTTGCTGTCAAATGCATATAAAGAGATGTTAGGAACACACACACAGCATTTCCATGTTATTTATATTTACACTGCTGGATTTCCAAATCCGATACGGTGGTGATTTGAAGTGCCATGCCATCCTTCTTCCAAAAGGCTGCTCTTGCTGTCTCTTTTGGTAACCAGCAGACTGGACTCCTCAACAGGTACAGACAGCTGGTGCAACATCTCTTGGTTTTACAAAGCAGTCGGTATAGAATATGTGATATGTGCAAGAAAAAAAGAAGGAAGGGGAAGAAAGTCTCAAATGTACCAATTAAAACAGACAAGTGTGTCAGGTTCAACTGAACTTCAGTGGGAACATTCACCTGAGTTTCCTAAACAAAGTTCTTCAACTCCAGAAGCATCAGTGCCTGGCTTGGCTTTCAGACCCCTGCTAAGCTTTGAGTCCAGCAGATGAGACAGCTGGATTTAGTCAAGAAAGCAGATTTCATCTAACATGCTGTTGTATATTTTATGAAATCATTCTGGGAAGATGAGCTGTGATAGGAATTATTGGAAGCATCAGATAGCAATGCATGGTTTGTTGCAACACAAGAAATCAGATTTGTTCTTATTGCATGTATGGAGTTACTGGAATTTGATTTTTTTTTTTTCCTACTAGTTTGTTTCAAACACTTAAAACCAAACCACTATGTGAAGAAGGTTTATATGCACTGGAAAACTAAACTATTCTATTTCAGGCTGTTGTATAAAAGCATCCGTAAAACAAAGCTACCGCAAGTCATAGTGCTGCTAAGGACTGTATTTTGGTGACTGAAATAGGAGAATGTTACTGGAAAAAAAAACTCATTGGACATAAGAACTTTTGTATAAATGTTGTTAAGCTGATTATTATAAAATTATATATTACACAGCTGATTATAAACCAGAGCAGAGAGAAGGATCAAATCTGCAATTCCAAGTCCCAGTTCTGTGAGGGGGTTCAATACTCTGTGCTTACAGTGCTTTATCCTTACCTTCATACATGGCCGTATACGTCCTGCTCCCTTTAATAAGGTGTCCTTAGAGAGGTATCTGTCATCGCAGTAGTCCCAACAGCTACCCACAGACTGCTAGGTGAGACAGTGGTAAATGGATCCTGGCATCCTGAAATGCTGTCACACGAAGCCTGATTCACATCTGGACTCTTCAGTGCACAAGTGGTTCCTCCTGCAGAAGCTGTCTAAAGTGAGGAGAGGGGAGGAGGGATAAGAAAGCAAGGTAGAGTCTGAACTTCCCAACTCCTACAAAATTTGTAGGAATGTCAAAGAGCTGGTACTGTTGACTAACATTCTACCCGTTTAAGCCATGTTTGATGCTGTTAGGACCCAGTGTATAAAACTAAAATGTATCTTTAAACCAAACTGAGCACAAAGTTTTTCCCTGACACTTGACTTTTTTGACCTAAAAAAAAAAAAAAAAAGAAAAAAAAAAAGTGAAGCTGTTTTTTAGAGGTTGATGTAATATGATCCTGATTATTACTTCATCAGCTGGCATACACTGCCTAAATTGCTGTAAAATATATGTGGTAATGAAAGAGGTGATGCATAGCTGCTGAAACAAATGCTCAGAACAGTTTTTCCTCAGCTCTTCACATTTTGAACAAATGCAATGTACTTCCATTTTCCATTAGTGTTTCAAGTTAAATGCAGTTGCCGTGAATAGCATAGGAGAGCCAGCAGTTAACTCTACCACTGCAGAGCAAATAAGGAAAGTCAACACGTCTGACTAATCTCTTTCTGTTCCAGTGGTGGTGGCAGTGATCAAAACAGTGTTTCTACTGTTCTCTGCTCCAGGCCATCACTTCTGTACTTTCAGATGCTGTGCTGATACAATAGTCTCAAGCTAATTCATATAGAGAAGTGAAAGAGGTAGGTCAAAACTAATCAGCACAATGGGGGAAAAAAGGTAGTTTAAACAGCTGGAGCACTAGGCATGAGAATAAGGAATGAATAAATAAATAGCGTGTGAAATTAACTAGAGTATACAAGTACCTGAAGGATGCAAACGCATTGATTGAAGAATCGCATTAGGATGCGATTAAAAAGTTTCAGCTAACTGTCACAACAAAAATTTGCCATCAAGTGTGTAAAGCTCTGTTGTGGGCATGCTTTACGTGAATGAATTGCCAGCAACAGGCTCTGGAAAGGTATCCTTTGACAGGAACAGGCATGTTTGATTCAGCTCAAGCGCATGGAAATCCTTCCCTTAATCTCTGCACAGGATTTCACATTGAGCCCAAGCATGTTTTTACTAGTGATTGAAAGGAGGTGAACAGCTAGCTCATTATTATGCAAAATCAAGTTATTTAGATAATAAGAGATTAATAAACATTAGTATATATATATTTTAATTACTCACAGATAGGAAAAGCTCCTTGTTTACTGAGTGAGTAGTTGAGCAGTGTGAAAGCGGCGATGTGGAAAAGCAGCGAGCTGTTGCCCAGATTGCCCCTGCCAGGCTCTGCAAGCAGCCGTCGTGAGCCCGTGCTGGGGCTGTGATGGCTTTCGGATGTGGTACTGCCTGCAAGGAGCCTGACCGCCTCTGCTCACCCTGGTCACGAACAGTAAGGTGCCCGTTAGTAACAGAGTTAATTATTACAGTATTGTTTGTTCACATCAAAGTGAATTAGGCTATGTGAAATTCCCAGTAACGCTTCAAAAATTACTCCTCAGGTGTGCAATGATTTTCCTTAAAAAAAAAAAAAAAACACACACACAAAAAAAAAACCACAAACAAAACCAAAACCAAAAACAACCACCACCAAACACAAACACTACTTGTTTTCTCATTTGCATTTTCTCTGGTTGGACCTACATCCCCTCTGGATTACCGTGACTCAGCACGCTCCATTGTGTTTCTGCATTTCTGAAACACAGCCAAGTAGTTCCTTCCAAAGATTACCTTGTTAAAGTAAAAATATCCGTTGTATTGCTTGCCCTTCAGATCTCATTCAGTGACTGCAGATTGTGGTACTTCAGGTCAGGGCAATGCAGTTTTCCAGTCAACTTCTCTTAAAACACAGAAACCAGAATTCCTTCACCAATCTTCCTTACATTCCTTTTCCTTCGTGTTTTGGAGTAGCTCCATGGTCCCATGAAATCCATAACCCATTTCTGGATCTACATATTGCACAGCTGTACACAAAGTTTTCTACCTTTGCCAATTTGTTTCAATGCCGACTCACAGAAGGATGTCCCAGGCATTTTAAGACTGCATTTATATGCAACTGTGACAGTAATCAAAAATAAGCTGCTCTTGAATAATATTTAGAAGTTTTAGGGCAACTACCCTAGACAACAGTGCTCAGGAACTAACTTCCAAAAATAAAAATAAAAAACGTCTGAAGTGCTAATCAGCAAATCTGGTAATGAACAGCAGTATGTGGTTGATCATTGCATAGTCCCTCTACAATCCAAAGTTCCCTCCATCAAAATCAGCAACAGAAAATAATCAAAAGCTACTCTTAGATTCAGTACAAATTGGGTGGATTGGGTAGATGACTACTAGACCTCTCAGTTGCAAAGAGACTTCAATAGCAGAAGTGAATTGTCTTAGAATTGCCACATTTCTTTATTCCTTTCATTATTTTCAGACAGATCAAGAAGCAATAAAATATGTGTAGGTCCTTGATGTGCCTTTTTTTTTTTTTCCTGCAGTGGTTAAAACTATGCTTTTAAAAAAAGTGATCAGCAACCCAAATAGCTGGAGATTTCTGCACAAGATAATTTTTAATTATATGAAAACATAGAAAACCTGAATGACGGGTACCTTTGCATACTTCCATACAACAACTCCGCCATCTGTGTTTCAAGCAGAGTTTACTATGTCTGAGTTGGAAAGGGTTCAGCATGCGAAATACTGAGCAGGTTAGCTTTCAGCAGATAGAGCACAACAGTCATTTACAAAGTGGAGTAGGAGTCTGTAAAACTAAACAACAACAACAAAAAAACAACACAAGGACTAGAGGGCATAAATACGGTAGGGCAGATTTGGGCCTTAAGTTCACATATTTTTCTTTTCCCTCAGAAATGAAGTTTATGGATTTTCTCACCTCTTGCACATTCCAGGCTGTAACTGTGCCATCAGTACAAGCAACAGACCTCAACTTTCCACCCCAAACACATTCATTGCCTGATAGATAAGCCATGACAGATATTTTTCCTACAGTAAAAAAAAAAAAAAAGAAAAAAAAAGTTAAAAAACAAAATGTCATTCCATAGGACTGAAAAATTTGATTCTCCGCAAGCTCAAGAGTGTTTAAAATGTACACATGGAAAAATAACGTGCCCTTTAGATGGCATCCTACTCAGTAATATTGAATGACTGCATGTATAAGAGAGTTTCCCTCTTAAGGATGATTAGGCATTTACATCTTGCTATAGGCTCAATAAGCACATTTGCAGTATTTATAGGTAGCTAACATTTTCCTCAAATCTGGTACATGGTCAGGGAAGATAGGTTAAAGACTAAAAATAATGCTCTTTCTCTACCTTCACTGCTGACCTGATGAGATATGCCAACAAGATAAGGCTTTGCATCATCATCTTGTATGTAATTTTTTTATTTATTTATTTATTTTTTTTTAGGGCTGGTAAGGGAGTGCTACATTTGCTACTTCATGACGAAAGGATAATCCAGGCACAGCTCTATTTTTAGCCTGAGAGCACAACACACAAATGCCATTTTTCCAGAGGTGATTTGTTTCCACATTTCTGCTGATGGCCAAAGCTTTAAAAAAAGAATTATGGTTTTGTGTTCTGAACTCCTGCAACAGTTGCACACAAAATCTTTCAAAGTGCTGCATTTCATCTCTAAATAAAACTTATCTGTAGCTTCTGGTAATATTAGCCCTTGTGAGTGTCATCAAAGATCAGTTAATTCCAACTGAGCATTTTGAAAACTGCTGCCATGAGGCAAGTACCCAAGCAAAATGCTATTTTCTCTGCTGCCATGTGCTTCATTAGCATGTGCATGTAATCAGCTGGTGGCCAGCCTGACACCATCTGATATTTAAGTTGGGTATGCTGAAGATGATTCTTCTTCCCTGGCTGAAAACCATGAAATCACATTTAAGATGCTGCAGAGATCCGGTGACGTGGGCATTCTTGTGTGAAACGAGCATGACAATGGCCCTGCATGCAAGAGTTAATGAAAATAGAATCAATAGCACAGTAAGTTTGAAAATCACTAGCTGTGTATATTTATTGCATATTCAAACCAAAATATTCAATATATTTGCTTGAGACCACAGACAAAAGCAGAAACTTTTGCTCTCAATGCAGCCCAGTGAGGCTCAGCAACATCCCCGTCCCACCTGCCACAGAACTGCCCCCAGCCCCCTCCCCAGCAGTTTTTCACTGGCCATAACACTGGCTGTTTGCATTGTGTAGTCGTAAATAAATAATATTTTTTTAAAAGGCTAAACAGATCAATACGAGATGTACCTGTACAGGGTGAATGGTTTCTTTTTAATGCTGTACAACCCAGCTTTGATAGTTTGAGCATTGAAAGAAGCACTGCTGCCCAGGAACTGCTCTCTGAAGTGCTGCTCCAGGACTGTTTGTGCCAAAAAAAGGTGTTTAGATACACTGAAACTGATTCAAAGCATTTGACAGCTTTTGCTGTCAAGTAAGGATTACCAGATTGGTAAAGAGTACCAGATTGAGCCTGTTCTGCCACGAAAACCTCAATTCTTTGAACCATTGCTCTGAAACATTCAGAGAAACTGTAAGTGTAAGCATAGGCTTGTGGGGGAATTTTCAAAACAAATCATTTTGGTCACTGTTTATGTTAACTTGTGAGGAAATGTGAGGATAAAAATCACTAGTATTTCACATTTTTTTTTCCCCCCACTGGAAAAAAAGATGAAGAGGTTACATTTGTAACGGTATACCATAGAATTAAGGGCAGTAAGACAGCCATCGCGTACAAAAGAATTTGGGATTGAAAATAGTACCAGTTATGAGGAACCACCCCTATCCCATTTATTCTGCATGATCCCACAAACTCAGCAGTAGGGAGTCACTGAACTAGACCCAGCACCTCACACAACACCGTGGAGGGGGGGAGTGTTACGGGGGGAGTGTTACACCTCCCGTGGTTTATGGGCTGGCAGTTGCAGTAGGACAGCTAGCTGGACTCGCTGGGAGCGCGTTACCAATCGGTTGACTGCTGCTTGCACAGGTTTTCACTCTGTGGGCGTCACTGGGCGTGCTGCTTGTCACTTCTTGATACCAAAAGCTGTACACCCGTGTTTGGAGACAGCTGTTGTGCTCCACCTGTGCAGGAAGGGTGCATGGTAAAAGCGTTTTACTGCTAGAGTCTATTGATACAGGGATGTTAGAACGCACTGCCTAATTAAAAAAAGAAAGAAAGAAATGAAAGAAGAAAAGCAAAGAGTTTTAATGCGGAGGAAAAAAAAAAGAAATAAGGAAAGTTACAAGGACAGGATTAAATGGAGCCTTAAAACAACAAGGCCACGTGTGGCAGGGAATCCCCTCAGGATTCACAGGATGAGGGTGGGTGAAAGCAGGTGGGCAGGGGCACAGCTCAGAGCAGCCAGGGGTGCACAGGAGGGCGATGGCTGTGCAGACTCCATCCCTCCCTGCCACCGCCCGGCCCTGCTGGCACCATCCCCTCAGGCACGGCTTCTGTGCCCTGCGAAGGAAGCCGAGATCGGACAGCTCCTGTTAGCGATGCCTGCCCGCTACCCAGCGAAGTGGTCTGCGCCCAAGAGGGACGTAAAGCAGCTCACCCAGCAAGCAGGAGCAGCCAAGCCCAGGCCCTGCGAGTGGTAATCCTGCCCGTCGGGCATATTCCCTTCCTCGCAGCCTCTGGGCCACGCAGAACTCATGTCAAAGCCTGCACAGGTTTATGTTCACGTTCAGTACGAACTGATTCAATTTGTGCCAAAACCTTTCAGGATTCTCCCGCCCCTGTCCCCCCATGAGTTATGTTTCCTCGAGAAACCACAGCCCTCTTCAAGTACCTCAGAAATGCACCATAAGCACTAAGCCAATGCTAGACGATAACAAATGAGGCAAATTACATGCCAGGATGTGCTGGTGATAATGCTTTCCACCAAAGACAGGAGCAGGGAGGTTTTCCAGCACAGCAGCAGCCCGGGGCGGCCCTGCCCTGCTGCCCGGCGGTGTCCTGTGGGCGACACAGCGCGCCGAGGCTGGCCAGCCCAGCGGAGCTGACCTTTAAATCCATCGCTTCTTGTCTGCATGCCCAAGAGGAAGTCACATGTGTGGCACGAGCCTGACCCAGAAATATTGCAGGCAGTAGGATATTTTGCGCGAATAAGGAAGGGCAGGGTCTGCAAGATGAATCACTGAAACAATAATTATCCTGAGGAAAAACCTTGGAGGGTGGATTAGCTGTGATAACTGCCCTTTCAAGGTAACAACAATGCAAGCCGTCAGCTCTTCTCAGCTGCGAGGAACAGAAAATGCTTTAGCACAGACCATAAAAATAAGAATTATGGAAGTTCGTAAGAAGAGATTGGCCAAAGATGCATCCCTCACTTCCCAACCACTCCAACTTCAGCCTGCGATTGTTATACAATCTGCAACAATAATTGCTCCCAAAATTATTTTTAGCATGCCAGTAGCTTTCAGTGCAAATAAATAAAGGGACAGACAGTTGCTATAAAGGCAGGAAATAAACTTTAGAAAGTACTTAGCTTTTGGCGAAGCAGGGCAACTGGATTACACAGTTCCTGAGTGTGCATGATAGTCTCAGATAAGAGGAGCTCCGAACTATAGTTTTCTTTTCTTGCCCCTGCTCAGCCCAGCTGTAGTGCATCCATCAGAGCTTTGCCATTGCCCTGCACCCAGGGCAAGCACCAGAGCCCCCCACCACAGGGCAGCAGCACTCACCCATGTAGCGGGTGCGTTGCCCATGGCTGTACCAGCGTTACAGCGACGTGCGGGCACAGCGTTTGTGGCAAGCAGCTCCCACCAACAGCACCCGCAGTGCTCTGAGGAGCTCAGAAGCATCCCAAAGAGAGGCGGCAGCACAGAGGGAGGCAGGACACGACCCCACCAGACGCACGGTCACTGCAGGGATGAGGTGTGGGAGCAGGGCCAGGCAGGAACGCTGCCCAGTGCCCAGTCCCAACACCAGTCCGCTGCTGGTCAAGCACTCACCACACCACAGGAGGACAACATAAAGGCCTTGTTCTTTCTCCCAGTAGAAAGAATAGTTAAATTTGTGTTAACAGGCTAGCCTTGGCACTCTGATACCTTTGCTAAATACTGCTGGCTACCTCAGTGTTGGTCAGAGCCCTAGGGAGACAAAGCTTTGCTGCTGTTTGCTTTTTTCTACCATTATCTCCCTTCTGTCTGCTTCAGGACCAGGAGCTGCCCCAGCCTTGCCTTGGCTGTGCTGTGCTCCCCACCTGGGCACTTGGGTAAATAAAGCAAAATTTGGAAGACAAAAAGGCAGGGAGTCCATGAAGGATGCCAGGCTGCTCTGTCTGTGCACACTCCTCTCTGGGCCCAGGAGAGGCTTCTCCTCGCAGGCAGCCCGTGCTGCCGAGGAACACCCGACCAGTTCACAGTGGGGTGAGCCGAAGCACTGCTCTTCCTGCTCTCCTCCCAGCCCAGCTGACCGCCTGCCAGCAGCAAGCTTGAGACAGCCCTGGAAAGCAAAAGTGCTCTGCCGAGGGGGACACAGAGCCTGGAGAGGGTGCTTCCTGGCACTGCTCCCTCTCTCCCAGATGTTGAGGGCTCAAACTTGCCGTTACCACAAAGTTCTTGTGCCCTTTGCAACAGAAAGCCAATTTGTGAAGTAACTGTAATAATGCTAAAATAAATAAAGGCATTTCCTTGTCCCAGCTTTACATGGATGCCTTTCCATCTCGCTGCTCCTGGATTATGAGAAAGAGCAAACACTATGCTTGCAATTCACCATCGCTAAAACTATCAGCAGCTTTATGTACTTCCTTCTCAACTAGGCAGCCAGCATCCCTTCATTTCTCCCCACAAGCCTTCCCCGAAGGTCTTGGATGCCTGTTGTTTGGAGACAGGTCTGTCAGCACTCGAAGGGTGGTCTGGAGGGAAGGTGAGGTCAAGTTACTTAAACATCCTACTGGTTTATTTGCTTGTTTAGCTGTACGTGGAGTTCCCTCCTGACCACTGGAACATCCCTCCCCTCTGTTTTTAATTTAAGGTTTCACAGAAAGGTTTTCATATTTTTATATCCCCCAAAGCCTAAAAAAAACCTCTTTAGCCACAGCCCTTCAGCTTGGACTTGGTCATGCCTCTCAGCGACAGAACCAGAGTCAAACATGTTATCAATTTGACCAGATCGGTTTCCTTTATGGTGGAGTTGTTTTCAGCGCTCTGTGATGTGTATTACAGAAGCCAAAGATATAAATGATCAACTGGAAGCTTGAATTAATTTTTCCTCATGTCTAAATTAGGAGAGTGAGTAATTGCTGCAGTAATCACAAGCAGAGCCTGTTTATCAATGCCAGTGAATAATTGGCTATTAAACAATAGTGCACTTTGCCTTTGAAAATTCACAACACTCTAACAGGAAGCACGCTGCCAGTTTTATATTAGCCTGATGATTGATGAGAGGAGTGGCAGGATTACAAACGCAGTTTGGGGACAAGCTCTCTGACATGTCTCCCCCAAAATCATCCCTATGCTCGAATCGTTATCCACACCGAGGATAAGCACATCGTGGGCCTAGATTACAGCATCTGAAGTCAGAGGGCTGAAATAGCACACATCTAACTGTAATCAATCACTGTTGACTGCAGGCAGCCAAACACTGTACCTAGAAGCCACAGGCAGGAGCTGCCTCTTGTTTTCTGTTTTTGTACATGTGTCTGTCTGCCACTCGGCCATTGCTCTGACCTCACCCTTTGTTCATAGCAGCATCTGGCCCCGTTATCTTCCTTATGCTCTTCCATTTTCCGTGCCAAGCCTATCCTCTTCCCACCATGCCCCTCATCCCTTCCTTTGACAACCCTGGATCGAGTCCCTGTCCTCCTGGTGTCCTGTCCTTCCCACCCAGCTATATCCACCCCTTGCCTCCACTGAATTTCTTTCCCCTCCTGGCCATTTCTGGGCTCACCCCAGCCACCCGCAGCTCTCAGGACCTCACCTGTGCTCCCTTCCTCTCCTGAGCATCTTCCTTTTTCCGAGCTCCCTGGATCAGGAACAAGTTTTTTTTGGGGGGGGGATCCCTCCTCTCCCCACTGCTTCCAAGCACTTTCTCTTTCCTAATTTGCCTCTTCTACTCTGTGCCCAGCCTCTCCTCATCCTCCATTCTCAAGCCAAAGCTTTCTCCTTGTCCCCGATGCCCGCATCCACTCTTGGTGGTGTCAGGTTCTGACTCAATGAGCCAACCAGTTTCCTATACTGCCAATTCTGCCTGCTTGGGCCTCCAAGCTGGCCTGCAGACCTCATTTGATTCTTTCAGTCACTCTGAAATGGTTAATCTGCTGTTTTTCACCTACTACTGCTCTTCCTCACCTCTCCACTTTGCAGATTCCCGCTCTGATCACTGCTCAACCAGACCATTCAATTAGTTTTTTTCCTCTTCTGTTTGCAGACTTCTCCTCCCTGTCCTCTTCTCAATTTGGAAATTGCTGCTTTTCTTTCAAGCTTCATTCCACTCCAGTCTAGACTACCTACCCAGAGTTTGGCCTACTGACTACTCATTTCAATTTTTGTTTTCTTCTTTTTTCCCCCCAAAGCTATTAACACAACAAATTCATCTTTCTGCCTCTCCTTATTGTCCCCTTCCCAACTAAGCAGCTGTAAGATCCACCTGAGTCTGAAGAAGTACATCTGCAGCTCTCACTGATGCAAATTCTGTCAACCACTTGCTTTTCCTGGCTCCCCTGTTCTCTCTAAGTGATGTATTTTCCTTGTCTCTGTGGTAGAGCACTGGTCTGTCCTCCCTTAAAACAGGGCACTCTCACTTTCCTTCACCCTTTCTATTTTAATTAGCCTTAACCATTTTCATTTAACATGATATTCTTTATTTTCCTCCTCACTAGTATCCTTTAGCACATCCTTTCCTTAAAATGCACCCCAGAATCCTTGATTTTCTTCTCGCTCTTCTGGACACCACTCCATCTCATAGCTTACTGCTGTTCATACTATCCTGATGTTCCTTCAGAAGCTCCTGCCCCTCACGTCTTACCCAAACTTCTCTGGCTAATATCTGTCACATCTTCTTACTCACACACTTCATCTTTATCCCTCTTCATTTACTGTTGATCAAGCTCTTGAGGTCTTGTTCTGCATTCTTCTGGATTCTGGACACTTGCTAAGGGGTCTTTCTCACCAGGCTTGAACAGATCCTGGTCTCTTTCACATGGGGAGAAAAACAAACAAAGAAACAAACAAACAAAAAACTCCATACACAAAGTCAATGACTGCCTCCACAGAGATAACTTCTGGTTCACTGCTCAGCTTCAGACTTGTCCCCTCTTAAATAAGAGTTATAAAATAATTACAGTAAGAAGTATCCATCTCAGAGGTCATCTCTTATTTAGACCTACATGTAACTCAGGTTCTTCCTGGCTGAAATGAGGCTCGTAGCCATGCCTCCATCCATCCCCACCTTCTTGCATTGCTGACAACATGACACCCCACAACAAATTACAGCCTCCAACTCCACATGAGGTTTAATTCTCTTGAAGACTTCCTGCATAGAATACTGAGAAGTGACAATTATCCACCTGGCTGAACTGTCACCACGTCATACCTTGGTTAGACCGCCAGTTTCACTCTTGCTTTGCTCACACCAGTCCAGTATTCTGCAGCAGATTTGGTCTCCTCACTGGCATTTTGACATCGCCTCATCCTTTCCCATCCATGTCATGCGATCAATCTACTTTGCATCAAGCATAAGTCACTTGTCTTTACTTTTCAAATAAAAAGCTGTTGTAAGGATGGTCTGCTGCATTGGTCTTTATGCCTCACCATCTTATTTCCAAGGAAGCATCCTTCTTTCTGGGTGCTGAATTTCTGCTTAGGACTCCCTATGAATACTTGCAGAAGCACTTTGCTCTTCTCCTACACTTCTTAATGCTGCAGTGTCCTACTTGCCAGCAGCTGCCTGCCATACTGACCAACATGGTTCCTTTTTTACTCCTTTATCTTCCACACTCATCTTCTACTCGATAATGTTTTTTTGGGATGAAATCCATGTTCTGCATTTGTAGATGACACTGCAGAATGCCATCCTATTGAATAGATAGGTATGGACCTATCAGGAAGCCCTGACTTGTGGAGTGTTGCAATCTCATCCTATCACATATCCTTTATCAAACACATAAACCTTCCTAAGGTCACTTCAGTCTGCAGCCCCTGCTCAGTTCAAGCACAGTGCTGACACCTGTCAAATGGCCCTTACTGTCTGGTCCATGTGAAAGGCATTTCACAAGAGCTCAGCATACTGCTGAGCTGCCCATGGAGTTTACATGCACTTACACACCCCAGCCATATCTCCCAGAACGCTTCCCAGGAACACATCAGTGAAAGTTGTTGCCCTTTCCAGGCCTTCACTTGGCAAGCAGCACAGCAAACACCCTCACTGACAAGAGCACACACTTGAACCAGACCAACGAGAACACAGGTGGAAAGCTATTTTAACCCGATCCACGAGTTAAGGATATGTCTGGAGGTCATTTCCAGCTCAGAGAGCAGACACCAAGTATTCAGTTATCCTCTGTGCCTATATGGAGGCATCGGATCAGCACATGGAGATTATCAGAAAAGTTAGCAATTTTGGTAGATTGGCACTAGAACTACTAACTCAAGCAGATGAGTGTCCTCACCTGGCTGTTAGAGAGACAACCCCACCTCTGGCTCTGGTCTCAGACAGTGACATCTGTGTGGCAGCACAGGAGGACAAGGCAGCATTGCTATGCCACCCTCTAAGTGCACAAAGAAGCATCAGCTTCCTGTGCCATGGCTTAAGGCAGCAAGCTTGGCTGAAACCAGTGAAAGCAGAACTACCAGAACCCAGTCAGAGAGTTTCAACCAGTCCCTAAGTCTTGTGGCCTAGCACTGATTCATCTCCGTGTTACAGCTTCTCAACCGTATCAAACACGTGAAGACTCAATCAGTTATCTTTGCTATCATTAGACACTCAACAGTTTACAACTACATATTTTATACCTTTATTTACTGCACAGTTACTGCTTGGGAACATCTGGAAGACTGAGTGGACCATCGTGAAGGCATTAGCAGGCCTCTGCTCCACAGAAGTGCTTGAAATGTCTGTGCAGGCAACATTCCCACAGCATGACCCAGCCTATTCAAGCATCTTCCATGAACATGCTTTTAGACAGATCAGCTAATCTTGTTTGCATGATTTAGAGTAAATGTTGAATGCAAACCTATTTTGTCTTGCAGACATAAATTTCTGTGCATAGGTAGATAGGAAGAAGTTCCTGACTTTGCAAGGAGATAGAAAATTATTAGTAAGAGCCCCAGTAGCCACAATACGATTCCCTTTCGTAGGATCCACAGAATCCCCCTGAAGCTCTCCTATTAACAAAGGCTGTTTGAACAAGTTGGCTGAAAATAAATAAATAAGTCTAATTCAGTACTTTTCCTTTTTTTTTTTTTTTTTTTTTTTAAACCTGCAGTGCTATTTTAAGAACAGTTTTATGGTTACAGTTTAGGCAATGGCTAAAACGGAAGGGAGAAAAGTTACAATATATTTCATAAAGTTTATGTGCCTTGCCCATAACTGTCTCTCACACCATGATATCACCATGCCCTCCCACATTTCTAGTGACATCTTGACATCAGCCTTGTAAAAAAGCATTTCAAACCTTTGAATAGGGGGGGGGAAAGGGAACTTCCTTCTGGAGGAGACAGGTATTCAGTTCTATTATTTTAATTAAAGCTATAATTTTAGTAATATTAGACTCATTGCTAGCAGTGATAGCTTCAAGATTTCTTCTGCTGATTGTCAAATTTACAGATGCATCCAAGGTCAGCCTTCATCAGAACAAAAAGTAGACCTGTGTCTTTCTGTGCCTTCCTCTCCATCATTCCATCATTCCATTTTCTCCACCCTTTCTCTCCTTCCTGCCATGAACATGAGTTTGCTTCCCCTGATCTCCACATGATTTCCTCATGCTATTTGTTACCCCTTCCCATACACAATTTTTGTGACTCCGCCCTGCGCACATTCAGGGAATAGACAACACCCTTGTTGTCCACGCTGCTGCTCTCCACCCAGCCACACGTGCTATCTGCTTTGCACATCACTGTGCACACAGGCACTCTGTCCAACAAAAAGCCTGCCTTACTTTTTGCAGTGACTGGCATCAGGTACAGCTCCGTCTCACCCATCCCCTCAGCTCATTGCCCCAGCACTGTGAACAGTTGTCAGAGCTCAGCATATTCTGTGGCAAATCACTAGCATCCAGCAGGTTTTGTTACCTGAAGATATACCACCAGGACTCACATATTCAGCACTGGCTGGCTATGGCTAACCAAGATGCGTGTTTGACATCCAGTTTTACAACACATCTCTTATCCCTCAATGTGTGCTATTGCTACTCCACCTCTCTGTAGACCTGGTATTTCCAAAGCTGTCAAGTTCTCCTCTTCCTTAGCATCATTTGTAGCTCTCTGGAGGACTGTCACATTTGCTGGATCACATCCATGGTGCTTAAGACTTTCCTTTGGCAACAGATAATCTGCTCTGCCAGTTCATTTCACATCTGTGTCCATTAATAAATATATAAAGGAAATGTAATTTTTTCCTTAAAAAACAGACAAAAATGATATTTGCCTAAGTGCACATTCTGACAAACAGGGAGTATTTTTTTTTTTTCCAAATGCAACAGACGCCCCACTACATTTGATATGAGGGTAGAATCAGGAAAATCTCCTAGAGAAACTAGGCAGGAAAGAAAAAAAATAACAACAAAAACATCTGGATGAGTATCATCCCTCTACACAAGTAGCCGTGTTTATACCTGTCAGGGAACAAGAGATCTAAAGAGAAAAAACGCGCTGTTGTAGAACTGGAGGTGCCCAAGTGGTGGTGCAACTGGCACCCAGTGGCACTTCCACATCACTTGACCACAGGACACACAGACCAGGGGGTTCATGTACTTAGCTCAAAGCAACTGACAGGATATGCCTGCTTCTCCAATCCTGCTACTGCCATTTCAGATTACTGTTCGAGAGCAGCTTACTTCACGTGCATTAATCATTAGCTCCTTCTCTGGTATGTGCAACAACTGCAGGGTCCAAACTCCAAGCCGTCAGGATGGTCCCAGGGAGCCACAGCCCATGGCGGCGTGCAGCCTGAAGACCGATCTGCTTTGGGAAGCAGCCCCCACCAGGCCTGAGGTGTGCACACACACCTGAGGGGCAGAGGAAAGCCCTCGAGGTGCAGCAACAGTTACCCAGTCCTCGAGACTGTGCAGGGGGAAAACAAACAAACAACTTTGAGAAAGTTTCAAAACAGTGGATAAACAGCCCTTGAGTTCTACCTTTTTTTTTTTTTTTTGAAAAACTATTTTTTATTAAACACTCAACAAGGTGAGGATCATGTCTTTACCTGAGGAAATATCCTTGACTAAGTCCCAAAACCTGAAGACAGCTTTCTCCCCAAACATAGCTGGGTGCAAGTCAGCAGTTCAAGCTTAGAGCAGCTTCACCAAGGTATTACTTTGCCTTTAATGTATTCTTTTCTGCATAGTTGGATTCAAGAGTTCAAGACAACCTAAGCTCTGAGAAAACCTGGGCTTCCAAACCTTAATTTTAGAGCTCCTTCAGCCACATCCAGCTCTAAAAACCAGCAGACACCACAGAGACTACAGCTATGAGTGCCTGCACACAGACACAGCTCTACACTGTCACTGTAAAAAAGTGCATCTTCCAAGCTGGTAGACTCTTAAATCACAGAAACATAAACACATCAATGTTTTCCTTACCCCTAAAAACTTCCAGAAGTTTCTAATGAACCAGCTCCTGCCAGCTCCAGCTCCTCTAAAGCTCTGAGCAGTCAGTTACTGTCTGTGGAAGCCGCAGGTAATTAGCTCCCAGGTACACCTGCCTGCCCGAACCACTGCTGGCTCACATTAACCCCTGAGGTCACCACCAGCCTGGCTCCACCTGGAGCCCCCTGCCCATGGGTCTGGGGATTGGGGTTTCCCTCCCACAGGCTGCAAACCCCCTGAGCCCTGCCCTGAGCTCGCCAGACCCAGTTTTGCATCACCAAGCCCATGACGGGGTGACCGATCGCAGGGCACGTGTCGCCCCTGTGCTGCCACGAGCGCTCCCGGCCAGCCGAGACCCATCCTGGAAACCCAGCCCGGCAGCGAGGGCAGCTCTCGCCCTTCCTGCGCCCTGACCTGCCGCAGCTCCTACGTCACCGGCTGCTCTCGGAGCAAAACTCTGCAGCAGGCTGCTTAGTGCTCGTCTGGCAGGCCTGCAAATGCATCTGCAAACGGAGAAGTTGCCAGTCATACGACATATTGGGGAGCAGGTGAAGAAGGACCCAGGAAATAAACTGCCTTTGTGAATGTTATTTATATTTATTTTTGTATTTTCAAGCGCCCTTTTAGGAGTTAGGAGATTTGTAATACAGGGAGCGTTGATATATTAAGCTCACATTTCTGCTACTGAAAGGACTCTCTAGCCTGACTTTTACAGAGCTGTTTTGACAACAAAACTGTGCAGCTATGATTAGCCTGATAAAAGGGAGCCAGAGTTGGAGTATTGATGGTATGTGCATCTAGGATCTAGTTACAAAATGGGCTTTTAACCACATTCTCCCTTGTGAATTCATGTTATCAGAGGCCATCTTAAAGAAAAAAAAAAGACAGACAACCTTTCTTTTTTGTTTTATGTGGATATTTTTCTTGTGTTTCTTTATGTTTATGAAAAATGAGACATTACTAACCTTGACCAGAGCCACACACCGAGCAGACGGGCACTGTGCAAACTTCCCCCCATAGCTTCACTCACCTCGCTTGGTGCAGAGAGCAGGAGCAGCCGTGAATCCATTCAGCTGGAGGAAACCACAGGGTCCAGCTCTGGCCTTGTGAGCGCAGTCCAAAAGTCCAGAAGGATTGCATCGAGACCTACAGGCTTTTGGAGCTTCTCGTTCTTTCTAAAATATAATTTATTTTGAGAATATATTTTCAGAGCTGATTAGCTAGCCTACTAAATCATTGCACTGCCTAACCCCAAAAAGCAACCCTGACAAACAATTAACAATAGAAACACCATTGTGGCAACAAGTGATGGATGGTTCAAGGGTGTAGCTTGGGCCTGGCCTTTGTTCAGAAGAAAGTTGCTGCTGCTAAATAAAGAATTGGGTAGTAAAAGGTGAGAGTGAACAGATCATATCTAGAATAAAACTATTTGCTCTCCTTCAGGGTATGTTTCCTCATAGCAGCAAGCATCTCATGAGAGGCAGGCAGGCCCCATCGCTCAGGGCGGACGTGTGACAGAAACTGCTGCACACCAGCCCTACTTCTGCACGGCCTGGGACAAAATGCTCTCCCAGTTTCCCCTCTTCTGGGTGGGCGCAGCACGGCGCCTGCTTGGCTGGGCAGTAAGCCGGGCTGCCTTGGTCTCTGCCCTGTGTGCATTCAGGACGTGGTGATTTCAGGCCTGCAGAGCCCCCCGCCTGGCTCTCAACTCCCTGAGTCTCTGCAAGAGCTGCCCCTGGCCCCCCAGGCTGCCCCTGGCCCCCCAGGCTGCCCCGTACCTGCTCCGGAGGCTGCTGCACCAGGAGGATCCCCGGGGGTGGTGGGTCTGAGCCTCCCAGATGCATTCAGCTCCCTCCCTTGTAGAGTCAAATGCATTTGGAACGGGTCCGCCACCGTCTGATGGTGTTGGCAGCTACTTTGGCTTTGTGGACTTGCAACAACTGTCTAGGTTTTGAGACCGCAGAGTCCTTTTAAGTGCTGGATAAAAGGACTGCATTATCAAAAGGAGAACATCGGGCACTGTAAGAAAGTTCGTTTCTAAATCCCTACAAGAGCACCACACAGCCCTGGTTACGTTGGCTTAAAAAAGCAGGAAAAACCCTGACTTCTACCCATTTGTCAGAGCACCAAATGATAAAACCTGGGGGATCCTCACCGCTAACAGAAATGCTGGTTATTGCTTCCTTACATTACGAAAGGAGCAGGCTGGTTCCGACTGTCCGGGTTCAGTCCCAGACACAGTGCTGGTCGGATACTGCTAAGAGCTGGATTTTCACCTGCAGACAGCTTCTTGTAGGTTGGAAGTGCTGGGATTTCTTTTTAACCCCTTGAAGACCATGGTTCCAAGTTCATTTTAATTTCCGAAGGCAATTTCCTGATTCCTACTTTTCTGTCATGAATTTCTAATTGTTGTGTCAATTTACCAAACATCCTGTAACTCTGCTATGCTGTTAAGAGAAATAGAATAATCTATTGTAACGCCTCACTCTGGTTTTATTGTGCAGAAATTAAAAAGTAGTAAATAGAAGGACAAAAAAGAAAGCTGGGTACGTATGGACTGTAAAACAGGTGGTAGGTAAATATTAGTTACTGTGGACCACCATAAAAACCACATGGTTGCAAGGACCATTTAAGGTCTACAAACATTTTAAATGGTAATCAAAATGTTTTAGAAACTTTGCCAAACAAGACAAACTACCTACCTGTAATCTGCACTGGAATGTTATTTTATGTATGCTGCACATGCGCATGTGCACACGCACACACACGCTCACACATATCTAGGTCACAATTTTTTTAGGAACAGAGTAAGAGAAAGTCATTGATTAGTTCAGTAAATTATTTATCTTCATTTTTTTTTTTTTTTTTTTTTTGAGGAGGCTTTGCCGTTTTCTGCTTTTACTGAACCTTAAGACAACAATTTACTTAGCCTTGACCTACCCTATCCTGTGTTAAACAGCCAACCTGTTGAAGTCGGGTCAGACAAAACGACCATAGCTGCAGCACCAGAAATACAGAAAAAGCACAACTGCAGCCTAGGGAGCTCACAAGCAATGCTTGGTGTGACAGATCACTATATCAGGGAACGTGGGCTGAAATTCTGAGGCACATTTAAAATGATATCCCGGTATTTTTGGCGTTCACAGGCTAACTTGGGGAGTGGATTTGTTCTTTGGAGAGCAGGTTTTGATTCAGAATGGGACTCCTGAGCCTGTTTGTGCCCGTTTCTGCTCAAGGGCTATTGAAACAATGTGACCAATTGCACTAAAATCAGCAGAAAATGCAGCTCCTGTGCCTATCCACCCCCTCTTCCCCCCTCCTCCAATCTGCCACTGATGCCTCTTCAGTAGCAGCTCCATGGCCCACTTGCAGCATTTTGCTTTGCTTTACCCTAACTCTTAGGAGCCCGAGTGGTGGATGAGGGCATCATTATACCGAGCAAAAAGTGCAGACCTTCATTCTCACATCTGCACGGGCAAAACATGCGCTTTTGTGACCGACAGGAGTGATAAGGCCACCTGGAAAACATCAGCTTGATGTGCAAGGGGGACAGTGCCCGGAGCACATCAATGTTCCCTTACAGAACTGAGAACAAACGTGTGTTATTGCTGCCTCATGCTGTGCGATCCCTCTGTGCCTGAACTGCTGGCCTGGACACCTCAAAGAGCCCGATGAACATCTCAGTGGGGATTTGCTGCCGTTCCCTGACAGTCTCTGGCTACGACCCACCTGTTCGGCTGCTTCCCCACACGCACAGCTGCCGCGATGCCTGTGCCGGTGCGCAGCGCCTGGTGCCTGTCCCAGCACGATCTCAGGGCTGGGCTCACTTTTGGTCTCAACACAGCGTGTTCCTCGCTGAGCTGAGGAGATGATAGATAGACAGATGCAACTTGGAATAACGCCTTCCTGCCTCCCTCTCACCTCTTTTTCGGGGGGGGGTTCCCTCCCACTCCAAGAGGCTGTGCCCTAAGCCTGGGATTTATTTCCCATTCAGACATCCCCGCGGCTGCCCGAAACCCTCGGCAACCTGTGCGCCCGGGGCCGCCCCTCGCTCCCCGGAGGCCGCGGAGCCCCGGGGGCCGCCCGCAGGTGCCGGGGCCGCGGCTGCCGCTCCGCGCCGTGCCCGCCAGGTGTCGCCGCGACAAAGTCTCTGCGGGTGTCGCCGGGCTCCTGGCCCCACCTGCCCGCGGCCGGGCGCCCTCCACCGCCCCCAGGGGGGCTCTGACTCCAGCCCCCCCGCCCCGGCCCCACCGCGTTCCGCTTTTCGCAGGCGGCCCCGGGCCGGCAGCCCCCTCCCCAGGGCGGGGGCTGCGGGGCGTAAAGGTGATGGGAGGGCAGCCGGTGTGCCGGGAGGCACAGGGACACGAGGGGAGAGGGGCACGGGGGGACGAGGACGGGGAGGTAGGGGAGATCCCCCCTCCCTGCCCCTATTCTCACCCGCGACAGGGTCGCCAGGACCCCTCTGCCCCTCTGCGCATCCCGGCGGCCGCCCCCGCTTTATCCCCCCGCTTTGGGGCGCACCGGGGCCGCCGCTCGACCCGGGGGGCTTCAGATCGGCTCTCCGGCGCGGATCCCGGGCACGTTTTATTGTTTTCTTTTTGTTTTGTTTTCAGCAAAACACTATCAGCAGAACAATTCCAGCACCACACCCCTGTTATCATTTAGGTAACCTCCCTGTTTGAAATATTTCAAGTGGATAATAAAATAGTCATCGTATCCGCGCAAATTCCCGCAACGCGGAGCGGGGATACTCCTCTCGACCGCCCCCGGTGCCCCCCCCGCCTTGTGCCTCCCGTGGGGCCGGAGCCGGCCGCGTCCCGCAGCCACCTGGTCCCGGCCCGTTCCCCGCTCCGCCCCTCGGGGCTCCACGGCCCCATCCCTGGCCGCGGCAGAACCGGTGGCAAAATAAGTGGGGAAGGCGCTCCAGGGGAGCGCCGGCAGCGCGGGGATTTTCCGTGCCCCCGCCGCCGCCGGGGATGCTGCGGGTGCCGGGGGCTCGCCCCGCTCCGCCGGCTGCTCTCGGCTGGGCAAAGCCCGGGAGAGAAGCGGCACGTTGCATGCGGGGAGGCAGAGCCAGGGGAGGAGCGTCGGGGCCGGAGCGAACGCATAAAACCGGCCCCAGGTGCTGCGCAGCCCCGGGAGCAGGCGACAGCCGCGCCGTTCAACTTCGGTCCCCTCCCGGTGCCGGCCGGCGCGCAGCAGCGGTGCTGGTCCCGGCCCCGGTGCCGGTCCCGGTGCCGGTCCCGGTCCCGGCACGGCGGCCCCATGCCGCCCGGCACCCCGGGGCCAGCCGGGCGCCCCGTCGGTGCAGCCCCGGGGGCGCCCCCCGCCGCCACCCCGCGGGGTCCCCGCCGCTTGCCCCCGGGCCGTGCCCGCAGGAGGAGCCGAGCTCTCCGCCCGGGGGGGATCGCTGTGAGCCTCCTCGCCGGCAGGTGATCCGTTTGCCATTTCTTGTTACCCTGCTTCCCACCTCCCCCGCCTTTCTTCCCCCCCGGCTGGACAACTCCCTCCTTTGGAGAACACGCCCAAGTAGCTGAAGAAGAGAGAAAGGGAGGAAAAAAAAAAAAAAAAAAAAAAAAAAAAGGAGAGCGAGCGAGGGAGATAGTTAACATTGAACCTGGGGGGAGCGCCCGGAGCCGCCGGCGCTCGGGAGGATCCCGCAGCCCCATACATCGCCGGCAATAAAGCGCTACGTGTGACAGGCATACAAATCCGGCTAGAGGGAAAAAGAGCAGGCGAGAGGGGCAGAGCCGGCGGACGGGCGGTGCGGAGAGCCCCGGCCCAGGGCCATGGTGAGCGCCCCCGGGGGGTCCCCAGCGCGCAGCGGCGGCGGCGGGCGGCGGGGGCTGCGGCGGGGGCTGCCCCGCTCGGCCGCGCTGCCTTGACCCGGCGGCACCCGGAGCGCACCCCGGGCATCATTTCGCATGTTGGGCTGAGCCACGGCAAGCTGGGAATATGAACAGGAAAACAAGGCGCTGGATTTTCCACATCTTCCTGAGCCTGGGGATTGTGTATATCAAGATCGGGTAAGTAACTTTTTTTTCTTTTTTTTTTTTTTTTTTTTTTTTTCTCCTTTTATAACAATTGCGCTCTCTCTCGCTCTCAGCCCAACCTGCCCAGACGTGTTACTATTTAACTCGGGAAGTCTCAAAAAAAAAAAACACCACCCGATGCTGGTGATCACGATTATTTTTTAAGAGACAGGTAGAGCCCCCGCGCCTCACCGACCCTTGGGGGCGCAGCCTCCGCGGGGCAAGGCGACCCCGGCGATGCGTGGCCCCGGCGGGGGGGACACCTGGGGGCAGGGGGACACCCGGGCTTTGGGGGTACACCCGGCAACTTGGGGGGGACACCCGGGGCTGTCCGTAGCCCCTTCTCCGTGCCCGGCTCGGGGTACCGCGGCCGCTCGTGTCCCGGCCGGCTCACGCAGCCACCTGCCGCTGGCGACCTCCGAGCTCCCCCCCCCCCAGTGCCCCTGGGCCACCGAGGGGACACAGCGGGTCCCGTCGGGTCCCCCTCAGGTCCCGCAGCATCTCCGGGCCGGGCCAGGTGCGCTCGGCTGCGGGGCAAGCGGCGCGGCCAGGGGCAGGGGGCTCGGACTCTTTGCCCTCGCTCCGTCTGCTGGACGGGAGGCGAAGCCCCCCCTGCCCGCTGCCCGTGCCCGGGCACGCACCGCTGTTGCCTGCGCTTTCATTGACGAATGAGGAAGTTGGGTCCCGTTTTGGCAGGAGCCCACGTGCTCCTTATCTCTGCTCGGGCTGCGGAGGGAGAGACAGGGAGAGGGAAGAGGCAGGGGGAAAAGGCGGCTGCTCGCCGGGGGCACCTGCCCGAGCCGTCCCAGCGGGGTGCTGCCGCATCTGCCTCCGTGCCGAGCCTCCCCCCGGCCACCTTTGGTCTCTTGTCGTTGCAGGGGATTTTCCTCGGTGGTGGCCCTGGGAGCCAGCATCATCTGTAACAAGATCCCGGGGCTTGCCCCCCGGCAGCGGGCGATCTGCCAGAGCAGGCCCGACGCGATTATCGTCATCGGGGAAGGGTCCCAGATGGGCATCAACGAGTGCCAGTTCCAGTTTCGCAACGGGCGCTGGAACTGCTCAGCCCTGGGAGAGAGGACCGTCTTCGGGAAGGAGCTGAAAGTGGGTACGTTGCCTCTCTGCTAGCTACTGCCGGCTCTCACCTGCATGACACTGAAAAGGGGCACACGGGGGCCACGGGGCGCTGGGAAGGGGCAGTTTGTGCACGCCGCCTGTGTCTGCGTACTTAAGGATGTGAACAAGGTTAAAGGCAGCGCTCAGAGACTGAATGCTGAGCGGGGTTTGAATTACACGTCTGGGTGTAGAAACATACCAGTGATACTGCCCGATGGTTGTACCTGTTAGGATGGAGGTCCAGCAGTCACCCACCGCACAGAACAGTTGCTCTGCAGTAGCTGCTGTAGTGACCCCTCTCCCACCAGGAAGAATGGGTGCGCTGCAGTTTGAGATGTCAGGGCATTTACAAAGAGATTGTTCCAACTAACAGTCAGAAGATTCCATTTCCAGCTTCCATTTTTTGCAGTACAAAGTATATTGAAATTCTTAACTAAACTGGCATCAGTAATGATGAACACATTTGAGGAAATGGAACTGAGGTTGAAACTCTCATGCCCTTGGACTGCGGAACACACAGTAGTGGAGCTTACTCAATGTTTGTTGATTCCACAGCACTTAAAGAGAAAGGAAAAGAGTTTTCCAAAGAGCGGCATAACAATTTTTAGAGCCGTAGTCGAAAGCTGATCACTCACAGTATGCTGTTCCATGTCCAGGAGGTGAAGCTGGGACCTGTGCTTTCCAGCCTTCAGGTCTCTCTGCCTCCTCCCCGTCTGGAAGGTAGATAGGAAAACCACAAAATCAGTCAAACAATGCTCAGTGTGATAAAAAACATGGGTGTTTCATGAGAACCCCAAACAACAGCTATGACTGGCTTCCAGCTCATGGGGAAACCCTCTGGACTGGACTGGCTTCCAGGTGCCATTTAGTTGTGTGTGGACAAATGGCAGGACCTGGCCCTAGTACCCCATTCCTCACATTCTCACGGAGAGAGACGGTGTTGCCACTCTGCTTGGGAAAGCCCAAGAATGCTTGGCATTAACTGAACATCATTTTATCATGTGTGCATGTTGATATGTGTATTTTACAATAACTTGAGGTATTTAAGGAGCAGAAAGAGAACAAACCAACCAAATTTTGAAGTCCAGTGTGAGTAACAGGTCTTTCAACACCTTTGATAATCAAGCACAGTAAGTCAAGTAGGGTACGTGAAAACCACACTGTGCGACATTGTGAAACATCTGAAAATGGACCCTGTACTCAGATTAGCTCATTGTTTCTATTCCTTGATCTGGGCTGTTCCTGTCAGCGATCCATGCAAGTGTTTGCCACTTATGTCAGTGAAGAGTCCATTTGGATGGGTGACAGGTTTGGGCTCATTTAGCCTAAGAGTAACATTTCCTTAAGCACAAAATGTGAGAAGGATTTCTTCTCCAACAAATCATAAAAGTGCAGAGTTATTGTGGTCTGTTGTATAAACATGCACTCAGTTCCTCTACCCCTCCCAAAATTGAATTATTTAGCTACTGGGTTATATTTAGGTCCTTTTAAAGAAAGTCAATATTAAAGGAAGTAGACTTTGATCTGTCTTTGAGGTGATAACTCTTAATACGTTCTATCTACCCATTACGATGCTAAGATGGATAGCGCAAATTCATCGCTGGTTTCAGAGCAGAATCAAGTGTTGAATATCATCCAAATTATAAAAGTTGTTCAAAGAATAACCAAAAACTTCAAATTTAAACAGCTTTGGCATTTACATTTAAAAATAACCTTCAAAAAATCACGCAGGTTCTGAGATCAGCAATAGTATATCCTACATGCATGTAAGATATGCAACGGTGTCTCAAGGATAAAAATACTCAGGCCCTCAATTGTCATGAAATACTACAGTGTAACAGCTTGGTTCAGGTTGTCTCCTTGTTCCTCTGCTTCTTGTCTATCGGCATGTACAGAGACCTAGAATATCTGACACAGCTCGTCTTTCTGTGGCTGTTAGGAAAAAGCACCTTTCCTTGATTTCCCTCTCCTCCCCTAAGATCTCTGTGTAGAGTTGTGCTCTGGGTTACCATTCACAGAACAGGGACTAGTACTTGCATCTGGTTAAAAAGGTAACACCCGCATGCCACAAAGCCAGAATACAAATGTGGTGTCCAGAAACAGGAGATCAGGCCAATATCCCTTACCCTAAACAGGTTGTGGCAGGAAGAGCTGTATACCCTATCAGATGTGTTTGATGTTTAGTTTGCAGAAGAACAAACTGGGTCATCATTAGGGTAAAGATACTGTACCCCCGCCGTTTTTTTTTAATTAATAGCAACAGATCTAGCTTCTCAGTCCTCTGACACAGCGTGTACTGCAATATACTATTCAAACAGCAGTGCATTACTACTTTTATAGTCTTCAGAGGCTGCTTATATTTCCTGCTCAGTCGCATCCTTACAGTGATCCCTTGGAAGCTTGCAGGGCACCTTTGTCTGGCCACGGGCGATGGATTCGGGGGCTACATGACCTCATTCCTCTTTTCCTGTTAGGCAGCGGTGCTCGGACTCAAGCAGCACTGCTGTGCTTGCTCTATGATTAGGGGATGACTTCAGAATGACAGTAATGCGGCTCGCCTTGCCGCTGCGCTGCTGAGCGCGTGCAACTGGCAAATTCTAATATCAATTTGGGAGGATGTGCTTAAGTAACTCTTATGCTAATAGGATTTGCGTGTGTTAGCCCATACAAATAAGTTACCCTGGATACCACATATTCTTGGGAACTATTTCCCAGCCCATGATTTTGATGGCACACCAAGCTAAGTCTCTTTGAAAACAGGTTTCATTGCTTTTTTACTGGGTGATCTAGTTTATGAATGTTGTGCAAATGCACCCAAATTATTTAAATTCTCTCATTGACACTGTGGGGTGATTCAGGAGGCCTAATTTCTCCCAGTGGCTTTGCTGACGCGGGGTTGAAGGACCCTGTCACTCTCCTTTCCTCCTCTCTTTTTCTCTTTTCCCCTTTTTTTTTTTTTTTTTTTTTTTTAACATGGCAATAGGGCTTCTAGCCTTGGGGAAACACTTTGAAGTCTGTAGAAGGAAAGCATCAAACAAAATTTTCCTTTTCTTCTCTGTAGCACGTGTGGGTACGTATTTTAACAAATTTACATTTAATCTGTCTCCCAGTGATAATGTAGTTGTAGAACTTGCAATCATTTAAACTCATCCATGCTTCATACAGCCGATTTGTGATCACAGACTGAGTGTCCCAACTCATTGTAGCCTGCTTCCAACTAGTGCACAGCATATACACTGGTTCTTGTGTCATTTTATCTGGTTTGTCCTTCAAAAGAGAGATTCTTCCCTACTAATATGCTGTGGATATCTTATCGTGACAGCTGGTGACAGTAGTGCCAGTAACATGAAGAGAAGTAACAGTAAAAATGACATCAGTTTACTCTAGGCTTGGTCCAGTTACAGCAGAAATTATAAAACTGCAAACAAGATTAACACAAGGATTTTTTTTTTTCTAGACAATTCTGTAGAAACCTTATTAATAATGTAAAGTCACAAAGAGATTTTTTAAAATAACCATGGAGATGACGCAACATGGCAATTATGGACACTTTTAAAACCAGACACATTTGTTACGGTGGTCAGCACTTCTGTTCCCAAAGCCAGCCGCAATCAAAACCCCAGATTTTGAAGCAAGATAGGCCAAAGAACCCCCACCCACCCCTTGTGTTTCAAGCCTGAACATCCGAGCAACCAGAGAAGCCTTTGACAGAATCAGACCATCAGATCTGGGCTCTGGTGGACCACAGAAAGAGCAGGTGCTATGGCAAAGAGCATCCTGCAGCGTGCAGCCAGGTGGTCAGCAGGAGCTTCACCAGCTGTGGCAGTGATAAGCCAAGGTACTAGCAGGGCATAATTATCTCAAATAATTACTTCAGGATGCCCATACTTTTCATGGCATCTAGAGGGCAAAAATACAGATCTGTCTTTTTGTCACAATGGAGCTTCACTGCCACTATTCAATGAGACTCATAGGAAAAAATTCCAAGTAGAAATAATACAAACTATTTGACTGCATCTCTACAAAGAGATACAGTGAAGTGGAAACTCATTTCAGTGCAGATCTCTGAGAAGAAAGGCAGTGCAGCCTTGCAGAAGCTGTCATGGACCCTGCATGGGAAAGGATGAAGGGCATACAGCCGATTTGATGATGATACAGCCGATCATCTGAGGGCTATGAAGACATGTAGTGGTCCCTGAAGAACATTACAGCAAAACTGGTTTCAGCCAAGTATTCATCCAGGTCTTTCTAAAATCCATCACTTCTTGGTTTCTTTTACATCAACAGCTTTTCAGTATAACCCCCTTAATACCTCCATCCATCTGACATTACTCATGCCAGTAAAGCTGAAAGCAGAAGAAGAATCCATGTGAACAAACTGCCCTTAAAAATTCTGAGTGCAGCAGGCCGCCCAGCGCTGTGCACTTGCCTGGACTCAGGGATCACTGCAGATGTATCCAGATGTACACCTTAGAACTGAAGAGCTTGTTAACTTTCCTTTATATGCTCCAAATTTAGCTCTGCACTGCTCACTGGTCCAAATTCAACAGTGACTTACTTTCCCTATATTAAAATAAGCGTGAAGGAAGAGGGGACGTTTCCACTCTCACTTACTGAAAAAAATTACAACCATCCCACAAGCCAGCCTCTAACAGGCTTGCTCAGTAGCTACCAGCTGGGAAGCATCTCCTTTGCTCATGTGCATAGAGAACGAGTTCTAGCTCGTTCTCCTGTGTAGCCTGGTCTGGCCTAGCTAACAGATACATAACACTGTAAAATCTAATTTTGTTATTGTTATAAAGACAAAAAACTTTTGAAAAGATCCCAGTACAGGTGTGTTCAAAAAGGGTTTCCATGTTCAATCACTGTCTAGGGCTTTTTGATTTTAAGTACTGGTGTAGTCTCTTTTGTCAGGTTTTAAACAGTCTGATTCTCTCTGAATTACAAAATAGCAGACCAGGGAAATAACCACAGGCAAACCAACATGAATAT